ATATATGTACATATATATAGGAGAGAAAATCTTCGTTTGAAACTAAAGTAGAAATCTTTCTTCTTGTAGATCAAACAAAAGTGGCAAAGAAAGTCACGTTAACCGTTGTAAATGTACGTAACCCAAAAGTGTATTAATTTAAACAAAAACCTAGTAATGAATTAGTTATTGAAACGAGTGGATCCCTGGATTAATTACCATAGCAATGCCTGTTTTGCATGACTGAATATTCATAAGATATTCTCCCGTGCTTTACAGCTGGATTTTTGATCGTTTTAAGTGCACTACAATAAATTAGATACTCTATTGTGTTACATTATATGTAACAAGTTGGTCGTGTCCAACTTATTACATATAATGTATTTCTAGGATATTCAAGGTAAAACATCCCAGTTTGACTTTGCTGTTTTTTTCCCTCCCCATTAAACTTGCCTTAATTAAGAAAGAAAAATTTTAAATACATTCAAGCAAAACTGTAATGAGTCAAATCACTTGCTTCACATTTCTTCATTTATGGAATAAATGAAGAGAGCAGCAAGGTGAAACACAGAATTTATTCAGAGAAATAGTTGTTTCTTTGGTGTTCGTGCTTAGTGGATCTGTCTTAAACTTTGTTTGTGTTATTTTTAATTAACAAAATGAAAACGTGGTATATCGTATGAAAATGAAGAACCATTTGTTTCTGTTACAGTTTTTCCTAACGTGCCGCCTGCGCCAGGAATGCCCTGTCAGGGAGAAGACAGTGAGTGTTCATCAGCAAAGAAAGAAATTTTCATTATATTTAGATATCAGTTTCACAATTCAACGATTTTCAACGTCACAATACTAGCCAGCGAGTTGTTCGATTAACAATAAGTTCAGGATTTTACTATAAAGGAATATGAGTAGCCTGGCTATATTCATCATTGAGAAAAGAAAACTGAAAGCATTGAAAAGGATCGAATGTTACATTGATGCATTTAGGATCAAGCAGATTTGTTTTATTTTTCATGGAACATTGTTGATATCAGCGCGCTTATCTTTAATTTCATCATTTTATATTTTATATGTATACCTGATTTTTCATCCATACGATTAAACAAATGTTTTTAGTTTTGTCAAGTTAACTATGGTAAATACTTCTTGCTAATTCGTTATTCCATAATGATTGGAAATGAAATTTTATTCTATTTTATTCTATGCTTTATAAACTCTATATATATATTATATTATAAACTATAGAGTTTGTTAATAAAATTGAAATATCAGCACAAGGAATCTAATCAGATCATTCTGTAAATGAAACAATTTTTCTAAAATAACAAATCATACATTTTATACTGTTAGTGGCCATTGTATCTTAATTGATTGATTATTAATGTTATAAATGGACGCCTTATTCATATAGATTAAAGATCAGGTGTAACATATTACATTAATATGCCAACAAAATCGAAACGGAAGGCTCTAATCACAATCAGTATTCCATTACGTTTGTCGATATTTTCAATTTCAAATATGCGCGCGTTTACACATGAAGATGACCTTATCGTGTTTACAAGTTTTACACGATTGTTTTGCCTCTGCAAGATTTGTATGATAGTTTTTGACTGTTGGGAAGTATGGAAGGACGTAGGCCAATTACAGTTTTACTGCAGATCTTCCAATGCGGTATTTCAACGGGAATACATTTTAAATGAGAGTTATATTGTAATCTTGTAAACGAGTAATTATTTGAAACTTTAAGCGAAATTTATATAACTGTTCTACCGTTTTAATTAATGATCAAGTAGCGTCGTCAAAGGCATGCAAGTATCTCTGCGATGTGTAGCACATGTAGCATCGTTGACGCAATGTCCAATTTTGTACAGTTTAATATTCCGGGTGAGATAACGAAAGAAACTGAAAAAGTAAAAGGGAGAAAAGAATATCAGGATAAAGTTTGAAGATCAATTCTCTGATTCTTTCGTGATATTTATGTTTTTTCATTTTCCAAAGGAAGCATCTACAGACGCGGCGCTCGTAGATGGAGGAAGCTGTACCGAGTGAATGGTCATATATTTCAAGCGAAACGTTTCAATCGGGTAAGCATCATTTCATTCAACTTAAATGCTCCACTGTTACTTTCCCCTTCTTTTCTTTTAGCTCATTATTATGTATTATTTTCCACGCATCGATCACGCACGATTGTACTGTGATACAAGTATTTGCAATCCAGATCTCACCATGATGGATAGATTGTAATCCCTTGTCAGAAGAACTTGCTGGCTAGTGAATGTCAAACAATCATTTTCTATATTTAGTCGTCAATCGTGACAATGATTCGTCCCTTGAATGCTTCAGAATGTAGGTTTCTGTTGTTACTTGAATGATGCAGATCCCAGAGACGAATTGCTCATGTGCAATGTTTAGTGTGTAAAAGTAAGAATGTGGAAGTTTGTGCTCTGTTTGGTAGAAATTGGTCGATAATTTTATGTATAAGTAGCAACCTCATTGATTCATTATATGTTACAAGTTTTTAGAACAAATAATTTATCTGTATACTGAAATAGAACTTGTAGTGCCAATGAATCAAGAAAATTGAATGATGTTCTTGGAGTTTTGATGGAAACTTGATAGTACAGAATTTTTTGTACTGTATCTTGTAATAAGGCAGCATTTGAAAATACTCTACAATATTCAGAACGATTAAAATGATTTTTCCTATTTAATCTTTTGATTGGAAGTTGAAATATTAATAGGTGTCATAAAATTATTGTAAAAATAGATTAGCATTTAATGGTAACTCATAGATTCGTTGAAATTTACTTAAATTATTATTAAAAGATATTGTTTCAAAAACGAATTTACAAGTAACAGTCAGTTTCAATGTGTAATCTGAATTGTAAATGTAATATTTTCCTGAATGTCTGAAGTGTAAAATTTTGATTTGTCAAACAAAGTCCGAAGCAATAATCTGACCTCCAAGTTAACGATCGCGCGAACGTACTCGAGTTACGTCCAAAAATGTGAAAACAATTATTTTTGCAAATAATTTCTTCTCTAACTTTCGTAGCGAGCATTTTGCGCGTTCTGCCAAGATCGGATTTGGGGGTTAGGTCGGCAAGGGTTCAAATGCATTCAGTGCAAGCTGCTGGTACACAAGAAATGTCACAAAGTGGTGCGCAAGCCATGTTTGAGTGTACAACAACAGCAACAACAGCAGATGCCAAGCACAGAATCGCAGACGATCGACAGAAACGGCGATCAACAACAGCTTGATTCTGTTCAATGCAGCCCGGTAGCTCACTTAGAGGATGAGATCTCAGAATTGCCAATTATTGAGGAGCATTCACGCAATCGTAAGAATAAATTCACATTCACTTGTAGTTTTAATATCTGTTCGTGTAAACAGATGAGAGGTTTTATTATCCAAGAGAGATATTATTACACCTGACTTGAGATCATCTGCTGAATTGAATATGCTTTCAGGAACCGGAAGTGAAGAAAGGGAAGAATTGCCACTGGATACATTAAACGATGCAGATAATTCCAATGATATGCAGAGGCAATACTCGTTAAACGATTTCGAACTGATTAGGGTAATCGGTCGTGGTTCCTACGCAAAAGTTTTGATGGTAGAATTGAAGCGTACAAAGAGGATTTACGCGATGAAAGTAATTAAGAAAGCCTTAGTAACGGATGATGAAGACATCGATTGGGTTCAGACGGAGAAACACGTGTTCGAAACCGCTTCGAATCATCCTTTCCTTGTAGGACTTCACTCGTGCTTTCAGACGCCCTCTCGTCTGTTCTTTGTGATCGAGTTCGTACGTGGTGGTGATCTGATGTTCCATATGCAACGACAACGCCGTCTTCCGGAAGAACATGCTCGATTCTATGCAGCTGAAATTAGTCTCGCTTTAAATTTTTTACACGAGAAAGGTAAAGGATGCAATATCTTTCGTTCGTACTTTTGAAAAAGAATGAGGGCCAATTTCTCCCTTGAGAGCAAAATATATCTTATAAATATTAGAATTTTTTAAACAACTTATTTGTTTTTTTTTAAATATAATTTAATATTAAATAATGCATAATGACGTATTCTGACGATTTCTTTGCACAGGTATCATATACAGAGATTTGAAATTAGATAATGTATTACTTGATCACGAAGGACATGTGAAATTGACTGATTACGGAATGTGCAAGGAAGGTGTTAGAGAGGGTGACACAACCGCGACATTCTGTGGCACTCCGAATTACATAGCACCTGAAATATTGCGGGGTGAAGATTATAGTTTCTCTGTAGATTGGTGGGCACTTGGTGTACTTTTGTATGAAATGCTTGCAGGTCGCAGCCCGTTCGATATTGCGGGTGCACAAGAAAATCCAGATCAAAATACTGAGGATTATCTATTCCAAGTTATTTTGCAGAAAACAATTCGTATACCAAGGTCATTATCGGTCAAAGCAGCGTCGGTGCTTAAAGGTTTTCTTTGCAAAGATCCAACCGAGAGATTGGGGTGTGGCAAGAGGCCAACTGGTTTCCTTGATATTGTTGCCCATCCTTTTTTTAAAGCGATAGATTGGGAAATGGTAATTTTTATCATTTTTATCACTAGTATTTGGGGATAGATATAGTGAGACCATAAGAATCGATAGAGATTAAGTATAAGTAGTAATATTCAATGACAAAGACATCATGGTATTATTTTAATATTATATTTAAAAACTTTAAATATCTCATTATATTTTTCCAATGATATCTTTTCAACACTGCAATACCGTGCAATTCGTATTAATTATACTTATAAAATATACTTTTCATATTAAATGTTATTGATGAATTTTCAGTTGGAACAAAAACAAGTAACGCCACCTTATAAACCAAGATTAGATTCTGATCGTGATTTAGCGAACTTCCCACCAGAATTTACAGATGAACCAGTTCATTTAACACCGGACGATCCGTAAGTTTAAATGAATTTATTAATTTACTTTTATGTTTTAAATAAGAAATGAAATTTCAATATGTTCGAGTTTACTCAGATAGTAAACAGTAAGAAGTTCACACTTACATTTTAATTCATAAATCAAGTTTGTGCCTTCTCATGTAACTTGGAAATAAAATATTTTACAGGAGAGTGATCGACAAGATCGATCAAAGCGAATTCGAAGGTTTTGAGTATGTGAATCCGTTACTTATGTCTTTGGAAGACTGCGTGTGACAAGAACCGCTTATTATTGTGTCACGTCACACTCAAAATCAGCAACAATTACAGTCGTGTTACATGTACGAATTACAAGATAAACTTGCAAAGCTTCGAATCGATCCCCTATTGAATATCAGCTCAAGAAATCGAGGTTATCATAACAATGTTTTTTTAATGACATACTCTGAAGAGAATGAGAACGACAATAATTATAACGAATATCGGTTATCACCACCTTTTCCATTCCGATACGAAAGTCCGATGTGCTCCAGTTCTCTAAGTATCACAGACGTTACATACGGTTTTAGCAATAACAATGAGATCATTAGTAACTACGATGAACACAATTACGACGACGAGGAAGATGAAAGTCCAAAGAAAGGACTCTTGAAGCAAATGTTTTGCCTTCCATTAAATTAAGCTAAATAAGGCTTATTTAATATTATGAGATTGCCTCTAATCAATAGTTAATATAAATTTTGTAGATTGCAAGAGATTTGAAACCTGTAACAACGTTGAAGTTTACAGAATCCTTGTATCAAGTATTGGAAGAAAAAAAAAAGTATTTAATTTGCGCCACATAATATATACGATCGTGTTGAACTCTTCTTTCATATGGTGCTGCAACTTAAGCGTATTAATGGGTATTATTTTCAGCTATTTTTAGAAGAGAAATGAATTAAAATGGAAAATGTACCTGACTGCTTCGATTAATCTCGTAGGTAATATGTCATTCCGTTGCGCAGTCGTTCTATTAATATTTACGAGCATTCTACGATCTATTATATCGCTTGCATGAACGTATTCACTAAAAACAATAGTAACAAAATATTTCTAACGAACTAATATCTATTTAAGAAGAAAATATTATATATTATAGATCAATTACGTTTGAGAGGAAAATATAGCGAACGTAAATATAAAATTTCTAAAAAAAAACTAAAAACTTTTTGTTTTTTACATTTTTTTTATATATATATATATGAATAATTTAAAGCTATAATATACAAACACTTTTAAAAGGAAACTGTTGATCACGATGTATATTAAAGAAAGAAGAAAGAAATCTTAATCACATCACAATGTAGTATAAAATTTTGCAAGTATTATATTCCAAGGATGTGAAAGTTATATAGTAAATAATTTTGGTATAAAACTTTGGTCTATAAATAAGATTATGTTACCCTTTATCAGTACATTTTGTCACTATGTTTTTGTTTAAAGAAAATGCAAAAAACGTATGATCCAAGTAAAACGTTAAAATTGCACAAAATTATAACTCTTTTTACAATGGACTAGTTTCATTACGAATTACATGTTTCAGTTTCTATTACTACTTCCATATTTTTAATACAAATTAGATATCGTTTTTATAAGCTAACAATATTTATAGTGACGTAAAATGAAGGTCTTCCACTGCCATATCTTTTTGTATCCATTGTAAAGCTTAGATCACCTTATGTGTAATTAAGAAATTCAATATTTGAATTTGAATATTTTCTACTAAACAATATTGATTAATTTCTAAATAAAACAAAAATGCAAGCTAGATTTTGTGCAATTTTGACTTTACATGACAAAATATTAATCATTTTATATTGATTAATTTTGAGTTCTCTTTTAATTGTTACATTATACCAAAATTGTTTACTGTTGACAGTTATTCGCTCCTGTGATTATTATAAATATAAAAAGACCTTAAAAAATCTTGGAAAAAAAAGAATTATAAAGATTTAATATAAAAATTAAGATAATCTGAAAGGAATTTAGAATAAGAACACACGAAAATTAAATTACTAAAAGTCATTATATGAAAAGAGTTTTATAAAAAATTAACAACTTTTCTCAAATTTAAACATGCCGGATATGTATACTATACTATGCAGAGTGAGACATTTTGATTCTTACGAATTTCAATTCAGATCTTTGAATCGAATCAATTGAATCAAAATACAAATCTTATGTTCAATGTGAATTATTCTTATTCTGAAAGTACATTGATTATTTTCTTTCGTTATTAAAAGGATTGTCACAAATATTTTTATACAAATGTTAAATAATGAAGTCAGTTATATTACTTTATGTCAATCTAAATTTATCATGATTTTTCTGTAATGTCACCCTTCATTATGTTTACTTTGAAAGTAATAATGAATATTTAATAGTAATATGTAAACATATATACAATATTTTTTATACTCATTATTTCCTTGCAGTAGTAGCAAATATTGTAATCAATATCACTATGGATATCTACTTATCCTATAATTAAGAAATCAATCCTTTACAGTATAGTAATGCTTAATAAGAATTAGAATTCGTTTTAGATTATCTTTTTATAATAGTTAAACTATCTAATTAAACAAATAATTTACATAATTGAAAGAAAGAGAAAATACAATATTATAAATAGATTTCAAGAAAACTTAATAATATATGTATATTTTCTTAATAAAAATTGCAATAGTTAGGGAGACACTTGTAGACTAACTGTTGAAAATTTAGTTTCGGATTGCAAAAACTAATCATTTTTTAATGACTATGATTACAAATATGTATAAAAAGTTTTACTAGTTTTTATTTTTTTTTTCTCTCTCTAAAAACTATTGTTTAAGTTTCACTATTTTTTGCATGACTTTTATTTGTATTTCTAATATTGTAATTTTAGGTACTGAATGTTTAAACATTATTATATTATATATATATTGAATTATTCTTAACATAAATTGAATGCTTATTGAATAATTTTGAGTATAATTGAAAAATGTTAGTGAAATAATACATTCCAAAATAATTTATTTTTAACACATATAAGGAGGTATTCCTTTATTTTCTATCATGTGTTAATAATCGCTTTATTTATAAATAATTCCTGAATGTAAATTTGTTTGCTACTATCCTAATATTCAATTAAATAACATTCAAGCCTAATGATCTGATCAATTTAGCTGTTATACATATTTGTGTTTAATTATAAACAATATGAAATGCTTCATATTCTCAAATAATGAAATATTGTTTAAAAAATAAATATATATTAGCGTAGAAAAGGAACATATCAATGAAAATTAAAACAAAAGTTTCTGAAATATATAGTTTCTATATTTAAAAATTAAAAATTAAAAATTAAAGTGTGTCTCAAGGTTGACATTTTATGTATTTATATGAAAGATAGTAATTAATTTCAGTTTATATCACAGATTAGATAAATGATATGAACAAAATTATAATTATTATTTTATTTTACTCTTGATTACGATGCGAATACTATCTTTATGAAGAGAAATGAACTTTTATTAGTTGAAAGATTATTGCTTGTATTTTAAGTGCCTCGCCCTGTATACTAAATGTATATATATTTATGCATGTATATAATTTAGAGAGATAAGATAAAGAAGTACTTCCTTTTATTGTTTAGTTTATATATATATATATATATATATA